ATTTTAATCCTATGATCTGGTTACTTTAATTTTCTTTCTAGATATGCCATCAAGGCGGTTGGCCTTTTAACGTTTTTGGGTTTGTTGGCCTACCTTACCATCAACCAGAAAAATGCCCTTTCTTACATGGCAAACATTTTGCCAGAAACCAAACAATCGGGCGAGGGCCTAAAATTGAGCTATAGAGCCTTCATGGGATTACCCAGAAACCTGACCTGTGACAGATGGGTTGTTGTGGATGCAGGAAAACATGCTTCCGCCCAACAGATTGAAAAAGTGTCTGATAGACTACATTTTCCCTGGTGCGCTATTGTAGTCTCAGATACGTTAACATCGTCACGTTCTTTGCATGTCATTTTACCAAATAAACAAAATGGCATAATATACGTAAATGGAGTGACTGAATACAGCAGCCTTTTCAAGTCCCCAGTGAGTAGAAAAACGATCGGCTACTTGTTTGCTATAACCAGTGGAGCGACTATGATCTATGACGACGATGGAGGAATGGGATATGAATGGTTGGCCTCTAATCCACCCCTTGATAACATAAGTACTGAGGTTCCTCTGGTTATACCAGCAGGCAAAGTGAACTTTTGGAACCCTTTTTCATATTTCTTCTCTAGAAGTGATGTCTGGCCTCGAGGTTTCCCAGGAAACATGGCCAATCGTCCTGCCTGCAGTGCCCCGCCGGTGCCATACGCATTGCGTAATTCGAGCGTAGTACTTGTGCATTATCTCATAGATGGGTATGCCGATGTGCCGGAAGAACTTCTCAAGTCGCCATTGAAATTCGACAAATCAATCACTGGTCCAGTGGAGGTGCAAGAAGGCACATTTGTTCCCTATAGCCAGTATTCAACGCTACATATGTATGATGCCTTTTGGGGACTTCTAGTACCCACTACATGTGAGGTGTCGATATCTGATATTATTCGTGGTTATATCACTCAAAGACTGCTGTGGGATATTAACGGCAGCATGTCGGTCTCACCGCCCTGGACAAAGAGAACAAACCCACTCCGTCAAACACTGGGGAAAAGCTCTCAAACTTGTAACAAAACTCTTATAGAAATAGTCAATCACTTAATGGCGTGGTCCAGCAAGTCGCCATCAATTGATGCGAGGTTAAAAGAATTGTATCTACATTTATTCGAGAAAGGGATCATTTTGAAACAAGATCTGGTGCTATTAGACATCTGGATAGAGTTGTTGACGGCCGTTGAATATGTCTTCCCGCGAATCCACGTACCAAGCTGGGCTGAAAGAAGGGCGATGGCCAAACCCTGGGACGGTGTAAGGTTGTGTGTTCATTTCAATCATGTCCCCAACATGCAAGCATTTACAACACTGTATCAAATGTACAGTAGACATTTTAAAGAGATAACATTCACTGGGGAAGGCACTAGGCAACCGTTTATGGACCCAAGTGTTCATTTTTTGCCCTGTAACGATCAAGAAGGTGGCATTTTTCTGCATCGTTGTCTTCCTAAGCACTTAACGTATGGTGGGTTTGGGAACAATAGCACGCCATATCTTTTTGTAAGTGATGATACCTTTTTCAATCTTTCATCCTTTTTGTCCTATCGCCGGGATGTTCTGTGGATATTGGGACCTTTAGAAACACTGGACATTGACGTCACGTGGCCAGATGGGTGGCCTTGGTGGACATTGCCGTACGTTGGCGCCGCGCTGAGGAAAATCATCGATATTCTGCCTGGAGAATGGAGGGACCACTTGGCCCTCGTGAAAAATTGGACACAATCAGGAAAACGATTGATTTCTAGGTATAACGCAGATACTGTATTCATTCCAAATAACCAGTACAAAACACGTTTTATTGAAGTTTTGAAATGGTTGATGGGACCTAACATGCCACGATTATTTGCTGAAGTCGCCACGCCATTGCTAGTTGACCTAATAACCACCGAAAAGCCGGACCGACCTGATGTCATTCCATTAAAAAACAATTATCCACATAATGGTCGCAATACCGCACTAAAGGCGCGGTCGTGCAATTTACTTCATCCTTTAAAGTTGTCCAAGGAAGAGGATAGGCTTATTTGGCTGTCCATGTTTAAGAGTGTGGAAACGATTTTACAGACGCCTCCATTGCTGAACTGAAAAAAATTCAATATGAATTAGATTGGCAATGCCAATACTATGGTATTTCGCCAGAGCTTTTACAGTGTGCTTGCATTTTACATGCTGCGAACCACCAGGTTCTCTATGGTATTACTATCTCTGCGGATTAACTAACAGGCCATTTACATTGTGTATTATATAATAGATGGGCCTTTATTGACAGAAAGTTTTTTATCTATCATCCCTGACGTCAACTCTTGTATATATATGAGACATCAGATAAATTGCCTCGACCAATAGCCTAAGAGACGCCAGAACATGGCCAGACGTCATTAGAATCGAGATGTATTTGATGGAGAAGTTCATTATTTGCTATACCATATCGATTGTCGAATGTGAGCCCGTCGATAATTTGGGGAAAGCCTGTTGGGAGAGTATGTGCAGGGAAATATCATCAAAGTGCTGGATCAGTCCACGTTTAAGGTGCAGGCCATGTTCATGGTTTTTGAAAATCGTTCATTCCGGAACAGAGCGTTAATTGCGCCATAAAATTTTTGCAAATATCTCACTATTTGCAAGAGGTGACCTCAGCAATGTTTACAAATTCCATCATGACAACGGCCTTGCTCACAGCTCTCGGCTTTTGGTTGAGTTGTTGCAGAAAGAACATTCTGGGGTTTGAACAAGCATCTTTGAGCTCGAATACTAATTCTATTAAGGAGCTGAGGGATGATTCCCAGTGCACAATGCAGGAAAGAATCGTCTCCCTAACAACCTGAAATAACTCTGCCAAGCTGTTATGGAAGAAAGGGATAGTATCCTTCAAAACTGACCTGCTTGTTGGATGCAATTATATCTGCAGATTTGCATATATAATTGCAGTGCCTCATCGGATCGCATGCTACTAGACATGTGCATTTTGATGCCTATTGCATATCGATTTGAATGCATTAAGTGGTATTTTAAAAGTTTGATGATTATTTTTACTTTTATGGAAAATTACTGTGGAAGGCTATATTTGAGGGGTTGCATGTTCTTAATTTAAATAAATGAAGTTAAATATAAATATCTTCAAAGGAAATTGGGCTTTTTTAACCTTAAGTCATCTCCAAGTTGGTTGATGGAACAAAAAATACTAATCAGACTGCCATGTGATTATTTGTAAACAAACGCACATCAGACACCCTGAGCTTCAGAGATAACTTGACACTAACCTCTTCACTATAGCCTATCTTCATCGTGTCAAGTTATCTCTGAAGCTCAGGGTGACATCAGATTGAAGGTAGAACAACTGAGTGAGTCATCCAGCCGTTTCGAGGATATGCGACCATAAAATATTAGCCCAAGGAAGCAAAATATAACCGTGCAAGAGTATATTGGATCTAATGTAAAACAAGTCATATCATTTTGAGAAAAATTAAAAACGAAACATTTATTTTATCTTTTTACTTGCACAGACAATTAAAATAATTAATGTTATTTAAAAACTAATATATAGTGCTAATTTTCCACTCTGTTTACTGTAGACTTCCAGTAATTTATTGTAATGTTATATTTCTCTATGATTTTTTATAAATGCAATGTATTTGTAGAACAGTTGCTGTTCAGGGACGACCTCGATTCCAAATCTGCCACAGTGGCCAAATGCCAAGTGTAGATATGCGTTATTCACCTATTTATAATGTTCGTATTTAAGAATTCTTCAGAGCCATAAGTCGCCAAATTTTTGGTAAAAGAAATAACCATGCGATTCGTCCATCACGACTTAAGGTGTTCACTATTGCTTTTTCAAAGAATGTGCCTTTTCAATTAACAGGCGTTCTTCAAAAGCAATTAGGTCACCAGACACCACACAAAAACACATAGGATAAATACAATATGGCCACACGATACTCCTTGGTATATTGGAACTGGCCTGGCTATTGGGTCGGCTGAGTAGGAACTTTGTACAGACTTGACATTTGATATGGAATATTTCAGTTTCAAAGGTATGCCTACGTAAAAATGTGTTCTTTAAAAAACATTCGATCTCATATAAGATATGTGAATGGAGTAGTGTGTAGTCAGGTGTGTAGCTACCAATTAACTGATTACCTTGTCTGTTGCGCTGCTGCATTGTGTAATATATAGTGATTTAATCTGATAGTGCACCTTTGGACTGGTCAAAGCTTGGCATTGGCAAGGCATGATTCTGTCAAAAAGAGAATCCATATGTCGGTATCTACTGCATAAAGAATAGAGAAAATTGAAATTTTGCATGTGAGCGGTCGGTTTAGCAGTGCGAAAAATGAACTATGCAGTATTTTACAAAATTGTTAACCTGTGGCAGAATGACAATAAAAAGACAGACATTGCCAGACAGATCATTGCGCCAAACGGAGCGGTCCACACGGTTTTATGGAGTAATTCCCAGACTGATGTACCTACATAGAGGCCACACCCAATGCATCGAAATCTTACCACCAGGGTACAGGACTCGCTGTCTTTCGAGATATGCTGCTGCAACTAAACAAAAACCACCCAGTGCGTACAGAGGGAGGCATGCATATAAGACAGGATGATTTAATGCTTAATTCTAAGATATACGTCGTATACCAAAGAAACAGAAAATGTAATGGTTAAAAACGAAATAGGATACCTTTTTGTCTTCATTTGTCTGACACAGCCCCCAGGAAAATCAACAAATAAAGAAACGAACCAATTTAAAACGTTGAAACTGAAATCCTCCTTCCTGTCAAACCACCACTGTATAAAGTACATGTCAAGGTGTTCTTTATCTAAAACACAGTAACTGTGCGCCAGGATGCTGAGAGGCAACGGATAAGCAAATGCATTTACATTTCAAAAGTTCAGAAGTTAATACGCAATCTTAAACCAAAAAGGTCATGGCGAAAATTTAAGTGTATATTATCACCCGCTTAATAACGAGTACCAAAAAGGACATCAGAGGAGCTGGCCTCTTGATCAGCCCAGTAGCCCACGAAAGCGTCTATGAACTCGTTGGTATCAATCACACCATCCTCATTCCAATCAATGACATCAAATATATCTTGAACCTTAGCAGTGTTACGGAAAATAGTAAGGAAGTTGGCATACTCATCTACCATCAATTTGCCATCGCAGTCGAGATCAAGCACGTTAAGCCAATCTTTTGCGTTTATGTCGATCTTTTCTCTTGTAATAGGGATTTCCGCTTCTTCAGACCCAAGCATTTCTTGAAACGTGAAGGATTTTGGATAGATGGTGTTTTCATTTAACCACCACAGGTGAAAGGCATTGTACAATATACCATTCACCGCCATGGCTCTCCAAGATGGGAGAACTTGCTGAGCTCGCTCTGTTGTTGAATCGACGAATTCATCTTCATTCACCTTGCCATTTCCATCACGGTCCATGATATCAAAGAATTCTTTGTACTTGGAAACCCAGTGCACACTAAAGTTTCCTTTGGGGTTCTAAAATTTAACAACATACTATAAAACAAACATGACGTAGACGCGACACAACTGCAAATGGCCAAACTTTGCTTATTGTTCACCCTAATTTTTTTGTTTTTTATAGCAGGACCTTACTACTAAATCACTGCGCCAAACACCAATGACCAAGTGATTCGCGTGGTTTCACGCTTTTTTCGTTTATCAAATTGTCCATTGAATTTTATCCTGCGCTATTATCCTGTTATATGCTTTACAAAATGTACTTTGTGTTTCTGATAACATATTTGACCCCTGTCCTTTAACTGCCGCACTTTGTTGTCCCTTTGCTGTTTACAGTAGCCGTTTACGATTCTTGCAGACACCCAATTTAAAGTAGTCTAGCTTCTTAAAATATTCAAAAGACAATAACAAATTCGTGCCTGGACCTACCTTTACCATTTTCGAAGAGCAGATAGTTGGAACGACCATAAGAAGGAGCAGAACTTTCAGATTGTTTGAGGACATTCTTATATGAACTCTGTATTGTTAAGATTTCTAAAACAAAAGTAACAAACAACTTAAACTATACTTAACAATATTGTGCGTTATACAAATTTATATAACACCTTTCATATAAAAAATTATTATTGCTTCACTTTGCATACGTAGGAAGCTAGATTTGAAATCTGCAGTTAGCCATAAATAGTGTCTGTATTTTGGTAGGTCTATATATGTGTCTATGTTTACAGCACACAAGCAGTACAATATCATAAGCTATGTATCGTCGACCAACTGAAATTCCAATGTTCGTGAACACTGGATCTTAAAGCTGTCGAAATGATTAAAGTTGCTGACGCCTTAGATGCAGACCATATCCTTCAATATGTAATTCTATTTTAGCTTTACTTACCAGATGTCTGTTGTTTCTCTTAGAACCCAGTCTTATGTAATGTTTTGTTTCAGTGAACGTGGTATACTTTGAAACAATCGTTTCGCAATATTGTCGGGATGAACATTTTCAGTCACTAGGATCCCCTATTCGACATGTTACCAATCCCCTGACACCTCCATTTTAAAGGCATACATTTGTATTTCTGGATGTAAACATCAGACTACATTTAATACGGGCTATGAGACTATCCTGTTGTCAAACCAATCGTTAAAGCATGAATCACTCTATGACAGACAGACAGACAGACAGATGGATAGATAGATAGACAGACAGACAGACAGACACCAGAGATGAATCACTTAATGACCTGCATTCCTAAGCTGTTTTTATAACCACGCTTTATTGTTAATACCACAGGGCAACAGTACTTTTCTGAGTGATTCACGTGGTTTCTAATCGCTGTCAGAGTCCCAGTAAAGCAAGTCCGTCATATTGGACTTCCTTGGGGCTTAATATAATAAATTTATACAAAGCAACGAAAAGGTTGAAGGTGTCCATGAACTAGAGAAGACTACACATCACCACCTAAAATATTTACATAAAATAAAGGATGTACAAAATAGCTAAATGAGTTCGAAAATATATAAAGCATTAATATCTAAAAGTTTGATAAATGTGGCTATGATAAATGACATGCAATAAAGATAACTTCCCAGAAAGAAAAAACACAGATCACTTAAATTTTGATAAAGAAAAGGAATGAAGGTGTTTTAAAACGTTTGGTTTTGAATTTTGGTACACTAAATTTTGACTGGTTATGCCTTTTTTTCTGTGTGGTTTGCAAGTAAATAGGTAATTCAGCTTATCTCCGTCGTTTTCCTTTTTTCATTTTCGCAAATAATGATTCACAGAGCTCTATCATCCATCATCTTAAAATGTAAACATCGAACTTATTTCATATAGGCTACCAAGTGACAAAAGCAGCTCATTATGCTGTCAGGCATGCGAAAGACATCGACAGCTGAATTCAAAAAATAGCTTACGCTAAAAGATTGTGAACCATGTGTTCTTTATCATAACTTTTTCCTTCTATACAGAACAGTTGCACGCAAAATAAACTCATGATTATTTTGAAAGGTCAGATGAGGACGCTAAGAGCCATCTACTGGGGATATTGAAATAGGTGGATTAACTGTAAAAGACCTATTAGTTACACTAGTAATATATACTAGTGTAGACACTATAATCAGCGGAAATACTCGACCAGCTTACATTTGCATTCTTAATTTGGTCCAGCAGTTTGGGAATTTGCTGACATATATTTAAAAAAATGGCATGCTTCCATAATAAGCACGTTACGTAATGTATATTAATTCAAAGCTTTTTGTGCTGTCAAGACAGTCGATTGCAATGTGAAAACACAACGATGAAAATGTTTGGACGTTAAAATTTAGGATACATATTTTCTCGTTTGCTCTCTCATATAAAAAATAATTCTGAATGAAAATAAATAATCCAAAGATAAAAGAATGGTATCCATTTATTCAAATACCCAGTACACTAAATATGACTCAAAGCAATTTGAATGCTTGAAGCATTTACTTGAAAAAAATTAATTGAATGAAAAATGATACACTTCTAAAGGGGTTATGTTTTTAAAATAAATACAGTGTGAAATATCAGAAAAGTCATCCCTCAACCAAAATTAAATGGATATCTATCGACTTGCTTTTTCGTCAAATCCTTTTCAATCTCGAGAGCCATAAATATATGCAGCGGAGTTGGCTGCTTGGTCGTGGGAAAAATGATTTACCCCATAGGTGAACTCCTGAACATCAATGACGTTATCACCATCTCTGTCAATGACATGGAAAACGGCTCTATTATTCGCCTTGCTGCGAAATATATCAAGAAATTTAGAATACTCACTTAGCGTTAAGTCCTCACTGCAGTCGAGGTCAATAATATGGAAAAAATCCATAGGCCATTGGAAGTCTCCTTGTATATCTTTTGTAGAACCGAAAACCTTTTCAACAGCCGGAATCCAATCCTCAAATGCAATAGACGTCTTAAAATCGGTGTATTCATTTGACCACCAGATATTATAGGCCATGGTCATTACACCATAGACTGCCTTAGCTCTCCAGGATGGCAGTGCAGCTCGCTCTGTCGACAAATCAATGTACTCTTCCTTCGTTACATTGCCGTCCTCATTGACATCAAAGATGTCAAATAATTTTTTGAATTTCGTAATCCAATACGGAGTAAAATCTTTGTTTTTATCCTGTGCAAGCTGGATAAAAAAAAATCATTTTAAATTGAAGTGATCACTAAAAATTACAGCTTCTGAAAGGCTACGTAAAAGCTTATATTAAATCGATTAGAATCACAAACCGTCATTATATGCTTTTATTATTTAAGGAAGCTCTCTCCGATTTCGAGCACATCATTTTAGTCGGTTATGAAAAGAAAAGTAAGAAAAGTTAGAAAAGTATAAGAAAAGTATAAGAAGAATTACCTTCGCTCCATATGACGAATCAAAGGTTAAAACAACTGCAAGCAGCAACAGTCCAAATTTGATGGAAAACATTTTATTGAATCTGGGTCACACACTAACCTTTAATTTAAAAAACAAAAATAAAATGAATAACACACTGTTTGGTATTCAAATACAATACAATATATTTAAATTATATATAAACGCACATTAGTTTTCCAAATTCACAGTTATTCATTTCTAGCATTGTTTTTATAAAATTGCCATAAATTAACCTCTGCAATGAATTGACTCTAAGCTAATCAATGCTCCTTCACACAGATTACTTGCAGAAACATTGAGCAGCTAGCTACCCCTGTACCTTGTCCCCAAACAGGGACCCAAGATCCCCTGATGTGAACCCTATTTAAATTATGAGGGAATAAATCATCATCTGGTTTAACAGTCCACTGGTACAACTGACAAATCTGAACCGACAAAGACTAGGAGTAAGACCGACTAAGAAAAAAACTGTCAGAAAGAAGAGCCGTAACTCTTGAAGAGCGTAACTGCAGCAAGGGGAGCTACGTACTGGTCGTTTCTCTGACTAGGCAGTTACTAATCAATCTTCACCCTAGAAGGTTAATTTGAAAAATAAAGAAAACCAAAATAACGTATGCAGTGGTTATTTTATTACTTAAAACAGGAATTCAGGAATCGAAGTCTCGAAATAGACACTAAATAATCTCTAAGAAGCTAAAAAGACATCTTGGTTTTCTTTGATAATTCAGAAAAGTAGTAAGCAAAATGTTTTTGAAGACAGGTCCATATTAAAGGACAATTCCTTTGATTACCGTATGTTGTAATTGTAATTAAGTTTACCAAAAGAATCCACAATAATTTGAAAAAACCGAAAGTGTCTCAGAGCCACAAGCCGTCTCAAATTCCGTGCAACATGTTTCTACCGCTAGAAATGTGAAGCAATAGAACGTCGTAATATTCGTGGCCATTCCTATATAATTAAACGACTCCTGATACAATGTCATATTGATATGAAATCTTACTTCAACTACACATCACTTCTTCATTTGGACACAGACTTGCACTAATAGTACGTTTTCTGAAAATCGTGTTTCGTACCATATGCTGATACCATACACTTTCATATAAATATGCAGTCTAACTTCAACTACCCATCGTTTTTCTCATTTGGACACAGATTAAATTCTCTTCCAAATTAGCCGAATAAAGCACATAAAAGCCATCAAATTGTTTTGTCTACAACTAAACTGTACCAATCCATTGTTTCAACTCAAAGTAGAAATACTTGAATACTTGCAGTATAAGTACTTTTTCTGAAATTTCGTACCATATGCTGATCCTTTACCTGTAAAGTTTATGCTCCGAACGCGCCGTTGGTTTCTGATAAAAGCTTTATTGTCCTTTGCAGGGCGATGCTTTAATCTCATCACGAGTGACGCAGAGTATTTCTTCATTCTTTCTGTTACTGCGCATGCCCATTTTCCCAATAATTTTATTGGATAAAATTATGACTAAGAAATTAGTGTCTGCATATGTTGGTAAAGACAGATAAAATGAATATTTATTGTTCCTCTAGCTCTTATACTTTTTGTATTTCTTCCCATTGTTTTGAGCGCATTTGGTTTAACTCCGGTAAACTGCTATACATATTTAAATATGCACACGATATATTTATTCTGATTCAATCTTTATTATATAACGATTATTTCAGGTGTAATCTACCCCATTGCGACTTTAATTCTTAACATTAATTCTGGGTCGGGTTTTTCTATGTATGTTAACATTTACGTAGCAGATAGGTTTGTTATGCGGGCTTCCAACAATATTTTTTTCTTCATTTCTTTTATACGCCATAATACTCATCTGTTTGTAATGGAAACAAGGGCAAAGCTTTTTAAGGCTAGGAAATATTTTTTCAGCCGGTATGCTAAAGATGAGTTTAGCTAAATGACTTACGTTTCGTTGGCTCGAAGCATTTCTTTTAATGTGATGTGTTTTAATGTGTTTTATGTTCATTTGATCTCCACACTTTGAAAACAGTGGACAATACATATAATTATACCTATGTATAATGTATGATTAGGTAATAAAATCCCAAATGCCGCCAGTCTCTGCCTTTGAGTCTGTATTCTACCGCAATAATATAAAATAAATAGTGCAACAAATTTGTCGCACCTAAAACATTCAAACAACGCAGTACTATGTGATCTCTCGTGGGTGAGAAAACAGCACTAAAAACAACTCCAATGGATCATCTTGCTTTACATTGTGCTTTACGAATTCGGTTTGGATTCATTTCAAAACTGGATCACAAATGTTTTGTATGTAGGTCTTTCTAATCGCAATCCCCACTGTCTGCCTTGTGTGCAGTATGTATTATAGCAATGTACAGCTCTAGCGCAAATGAAAATTATGCTATAACATTTATCATTAGCATTTTCTGTGATTAATGAGGGCACGTTCTTTGCGTCAGTCAGCTAGCACACGTACAAAATACAACAATAACTTCACTATTGTTGTGCTCTCCGTCCACAGCAGTAATCGCGGGTAGGTACCACTCATAACCCTTACACACACTACTGACAACAACCGCCAACAGAAGACACGAACACAATAGTATTTTAATACACATTGCACTCACGCTGAATCTTCACATTCCGACTATATACCCACCCCGCACATGGGCTTTTTAGATTTTTACCGAGCAACTGCAGACTTTTAACTTTTAAGGGATCTAAAAGGTTTTTAAAGAGTTTTTATCCATCTGCTGTATCTTATTTTAACAACAGAAATGGACATTTATAATTTATAACCCGAATAGCAGTCCAATTTCCGTGTTATATGAATTTTTATATTTATATATTAATGGCTGAATAAACTCTTATCTTCACAGCAGTTAACTGTATGAAGCATGTACTATAACAACATACAAGTAGATGGTTGTATGTTCTGGTACAACTCAAACAGATCCAACAATTTATCATTTCGTAATGTAAAGCATTTTCCTTTTTTTATTTCAGCCACTCTCGGCAGAGATAGATAACTTGCAGTTAGGGTGTATAGTTAGGTTTATTGTATTCTTCACTGTTTAGAATGCCAAAGACGTGTCAGTGACTCGTTTGATAAGTTCTTTTGGCGGCGTTTGATCCCAGACCCTCTTGTTGTGGCGAGCAATGTCTTTATAGTTCACTTTATACCGGCCATGGGAGCAGTTGAGAAGTCTGAATGTTGGTTTTTTGTTTAATATACGTAAACTCCACCCAATCTCTCCTACCCCTAAATAAAAATTAAAATAAAAAGTCTACCAAATACCTTTCCAAAATACATTCTTATTTTCTCAGTGAATCGTAATGTTTAGAATGTGATAATAGTTTGTAGTTTTTAATTAAAAAATACGATCAACCCTCAAACAAACCCCGCCCACTCCAACCGGTCAAATGAGATCGCGTTCCAACTATTTTTAAGTATTAGGGCAAACCCAGAGAATACTTTCTCATTACCTCTGAGAGCCACATTCTATATTTGGAATAATTTTGAAAAAAAAATTCCACCACACCCCCTCTTTAGCATAGACCGGGAAAGCAGTTCTAAGTTAATAATAATGAGTTCGACAATTTGTATTTGAAACATGCTACTGACTTATCAATACAGTCATTTTAATCTGACAACCCCTTCAGACGGCGCCATGTTTTTGGACTGGAATGGGATAAATTAAACATGGGACAGAAAACTTGGATGTTACACTTGGTGACATTTGTTATTAGAACACGATTTATAAGCGTGTCTGCTTGGGTGTTTATGTATCTTCATAAGACCAAGGACGTGATGAAGTACCACCACCAAATTGACTGATATTGTATTTTCCGTGCATTAATTGCTGAATCCAGGTCTTCTAAGGGTCAATAAAGATGAAGGCGTAAAAATAAACGCCTTCCTAAATTTCATCCTACCAGCGCTTTGTTCCAAGTTGATATTCTCAAATTAATGCTATAAAAGTTGTCTGAGGTTCCCTTAATATCAACCGTTTCAGGTGCAACCAGGAAGATGGCTGCGGGCATTTTGTCCTTAAAAAGGAACTTTAGTTTAACGTAACGTTCTTGGACCTGAGGGTGACCATGGCATGAACCATGCACCTTTTCTTCTCTCATAAAGTACTAGCCAAATTAGGTGAACATACCGACCAGTAGTGACCACAAAATTCTTTGAATTCTAGCACGTATTTTAACCACAATTAAAACGTAAAGCAGAATTGTATGATAATGTGGTTTTTGACTTTTTATTTCATGTACCTACTTTAAAGAACTAATGAATGCAAATTGAGATGCCACGAGGAGTGGTCATTAATGGTAGTTCCATTACAACACTTAACGGTATGAAATATTCAGTCTAAATGGATTGTTTGATTTTAAGGCCAACGAACTATTATATCCTTGTTTGTACTGAGTACTGTATTTGCATCAGGTTATTACAGCCCTAGCTAACATATAAAACCCGAGGAGCCTTGTGATCTCTACAAAAGAGTTACACAAATATGCCATTAATTAAAATTCAAACGACGCATTCGTCTTATGTTGATGAGCTTTTCGCGAAACATACAAAAGAATTAACCAGACAGATCCGTTACGCAAATAGATAAGATTTTATATGAAAAAGTACAAAAAAGTATCTAGGGTGATTGCCTGATGATCGAATTTCGAATGAGAAACTGTCTCAACATACCATTTCGTCAAACTGATACCGTGCATGTTTGTTGTTCAGTTGCGGTGAAGGCGCATTCCGCATATTTCAATATACATACATTATTTCTTGTCTGGGGACTGTGAAGCATATGTGACACGATGACCAAAGACAATATTTGAGGGAAATTCTTCTTGATTTAATCATTATAATACATTTTACAGGATACATGAACTTGAAGCCATTAGAATAATTACCGGCAAGCTTAAGGAAGTACTGCAAGCCACGTGCATAACGCCTTTTACACAGCCATCGTATCTGCTTAGTAGCTTAAATGTCCATTGTTTGGATATCCTCCACTGCCTTAATCGTTCTGCGTGAATTTAAGCGAAATTTCCTATGCCTGAAATGCCACTTAAGGCAGGCGTTTTAGATATGTCTGTCGTATTAAACATAATCGCCACTGTTTTCGGGATTAATGTGGAACAATTAATGTAAATCGAACCACAGAGTTTACATAGGGAAAGCGCTTTTAATTTGAATAAGGCTCTATTCCCATAGATTTTAGATCGATCTATCCCCGCGGGGAGTCTCACTAGATTACTTTCAGATAATTCGACTTAAATGTCCGTCCCGCCTACTACAAGCTGTAAGGAGGTAATTAACTTTCGTGTCCGCTCGGCTGACAGCTATTTAGCGTGAACCCCCAGGGAGTTAGGTCGATCTAAAGTAGGTCGATCTAATCTATGGAAATGGGGTGTAAGATTCTCTTGAGTTGAACTTGGTTAAGGTATTCTATTGCAATTTCGGTAGTGTTTGTAAGATCCAGCGATGACACTCGCTCTGCAGAAATATGACTCATGCATTTGATGGCAATTTAACTTGAACTTGACTAACCAGGTCCAAGGGACAGTTGAGAGAAATGAGTCACCGTGCATCGTCTCTTCGAATTTGCAAAAGGCTCAGTTGTAATGATAAATCAAAAAGAAACGCACCAAAACATGTATTCTGAGATTTATTTTGTAAAACATAACATGCACAATACAATAAGTAAAAACACTCCTCTTCATGTTTAACTCTTTGGATACAAATTCCAAACTGCTTTGTGAGCGCCGGGAAGATCTCCATATATATCTGTCTTGAGTTGAGAATAAAGCATACAGTGTAATGTCTAATGAATACATCATTCACATTCAATGTGCAAGAAATGCAACACTGAGTGCCACGGAACACTCCATTAAAAGGTAATGGTGACAATTATTCCATCCACATTTAATCTAGAATGAGGTCTATACCTTGATAAAGCTTCCAAAGCGTCACACTATTTCTTTCTTGTCACCGCCTTTGATTAATGCTTATTAAGGACATCTCAATTGACAACTGACCCGAAGCATACCGAGTGACTCATGAGACAACGCACGCCGTCAAATATCTCGATTTATTTAAAAAAAAACAGGTGTAAGGTTACTTGCGTGGTGAATCAGTTTTCAAATCAATTAAATGCTGGCGAAAGGCATTACACCATAAAATATATATCCATTTACATAGTCAAGTGAGCACAATAAATAGACCCTTTTTGTCTTCTAGATGAAAGGTCGTTGTTCTCACGCAGAGTATTTATAGTAGCCTATTACAGACTTGTACAATTTGTAGACCTGCTGACAATTTGCTATAATATATGCCATCTAAGTGAAACTATCTGTAGTATAAAAATATTGCATAAGCATAGGCAACCCTTTTCTATAGGTTTATATACATGTATATACAATTACGCGTTAATCCCTTCACCACATTATCCTGCCATCAGATGCATTTGGCAAAACTAGATTTTCAAAAGCTACTGTACCTCAAACTGTTAAAAACTCTTTATAAATACTGGTTCTTTGGCTAGAAATGATGAACAGAAAATCTTTCATATTCACCTGCTAAAGTTATTGTTAAATAAGTAACTAGCATAAGAAAGTATTGTGGTCTATGCGCGGTGTCAATTACATATTTTGGTGCACTTGTTCAATTTACGCGTGTATTTTTATTATCTGGTCAATCAAGCAACCTGTCCGCTGAACTATATTATCAGCCCTAAAGTACCGTAGGAATCAGAAGCCACTGTAACAGCTTTTTAGCCTTGATTCTCTTCTTGTTCCGATTAAACTGCGCAGGTTCCGCCAGTTGCGCCATTTGCCTTGGCCTTCTTTTCGGGGCAGTAGCAGACGAGTAAACCTTGACGGTCGTCCTCATACACTCGTACACATCCCTATATTATGAGGTCGCGAGGTGCAGGGCCCCTTCTTGTTAACACAGCAACTTTTGAGAGCCACCAGTCATTATACTTGCTGGTCAGAAACTCTGAGCATTTGCCCAACAACGCTTGAAAGTCGCGGACAACAAGCGCTGTACATGATTATAAAAAGCATGATGATACTCTGCCAATGTCAGTACTCGTCCTTCAAGTATTTCAGGGTCTTGATTATACCAGACGACTCAGCTATCATGAGATGGCCGTACTTGTTCACACAGACATCCTGTGGGTTGTGAAGACCATCCGTCTCCGTCTGAAGATTGAGCCTGAAGTTACCGTCCTCGGTGAGAAGATGGATACGATTGTTCCGGTTGTCGCAGACGATGATATGGCCTACGGTGTCCACCGTTATGCCACAGGGGTGGAGAAACTGACCCAGGTCGGTCCCCATGCTGCCATATTGAAAGAGAAAGCGACCATGGGAGTCGAAGGCCTTTATACAATGGCCTTGCCAGTCGGAGACGATGATCTCGTTCCTGGGGCCGACCGCTATGTACTTGGGTGCTTCGAAGAGACGTTCCCCTTTTCGCGAGGGGATGGTGTGGATCAGGCGCCCTTCCTTGCTGTAGACGGCTACGGATTTGGTATGGTCGTCGGTGATGAGAAGCTCGTCTTTATGGTTGATGGCCATCCTCTGGGGCTCTTGGTGAAGCTCGTTAAGGCGAAAAGCACGGAGGAATTTCCCAAGAGGTGTGAACATCTTGCGCTGACCTGTGAAGTATTTGACCTCTTTGGAGCCACAGTCCAGAACGGCCATGTTTTTCCCTTTGGTGATGACGACATCGCGTGGGTTGTCCAGGCCTTGTTGGGGGCCTATCTCGAACTTGATATGACCCATCTTGTCGTACATCAACACCTTGTTCAGGTACCGATCAATAACAACGATCATATCCCCGACCACATCTATGGCGGTGGGGCGGCAATGATCTCTGTTGCTAGCCAAACCTTGAAAGGTACCGATGATGCGGCCCTTCTTGCGGTTCCCTGTTCGACCCGCCGTCCCAAGGCTGCTAACACGCCTGTTGTTATTCGGCAGCGTGGCAGACGCGTAGATATCGTAGCCCGACGTTCTGGCGGGCAAGGTTTCCGACTTGCCGCTCAGCACCTGGAGATCCGGTTTGGAATTCATCGCGTTGAGCAGATCGGATGTGTCCCACGTGGAGGAGTTTGAAGAGCCCGCCGGGGAGATGTTACCGTTGGTGCGGTTACGGGAGTTTCTGGAAGTGACCACGTCGTCCAGGTTGATAGGAGACGAGGTACTGTTGGGGAAGGACGGTGGATCCAGGGCAGGCTCGCTGCTTTGGCTGACGTTGTTGACATTGGAGCCAGAACGGTGGATGTTCACGTGGACTTCTCCAAACCAGGCTGGAATGAAAGGGAAATTATTACATTTATTACAGGTATCAGAATAATGTTTTCAGCATCTTGTTGATTTGATTAAATCTAAAATTTCTTTTTTTTTATACAGGGTGGTCCATAAAAACGACCTTTTTTACTTTCCATCGTTATAGACCTCCCTGTATAATGTATAAAGTGTTTTCAGTTCATTTGATCTGATACCACCCCAATAAGATTGTCACTTGTGTTTGAATGCACATTTATTTCTCGTCTTTTTTACCAAAGTTCTTCGAACCATGTAAGTACTATATTGTAACACATTAAATACAACGATAACATCGATGAAACGTAAAGATCACATCACACTTCTTTTCACGAATTACAAAATACACCTTCATGTTACTCTAGACTGCTTAACAAGGCTTTTCTCCGTCAACTTTATTTGTAATCCTTTCACACACAAAACATCGCGTGCAAGAATGACATCCAATGACTTGTTAGATATTCTTACTGATATATCTCTAGGTGAAGTATTTTTTAATGTTATGCTCAGAGCCATTAAGATGAATATGTGTTTTATTTAACGCAAAATGCCAAATTCCTAAAGAATAAAAAAAATAGCATATCGGGTCAGTTAAGTGCTTGTTATTGATAGCGGGAGGGGGGCGGGGGAGTGACACACCCTGAATTTCAAAGGCTCATGGAAGGTCATGTTACCGTTTGTAAGACTCGGCAAAGAAGAGCTAGAACTCAGCAAAAGGGAGTAATGATCAGTGCTTAAAACTAGGGGTTAACTATAATGGAGAGATTGCATTGGATGGGAATTAGTTACCTGCTGGCATGGCGGGTGTGGGGGACATGGTAGTTCATATATTTAAGAGTACATGAGGACAATTTACTATGAAATGTAGCTCACGGAATGGACAAATTGCTTGATTTTATCTCATTTTGAAGTAGAGGGAGAGGGGTGGAAGGGGTGTATTTGAAGTTAACGGGGTACGCACCCCCCCCCCCACCCCCGATTGAGTTCATTACCCTGAAACCCTTGGTGTCAATGTCAATGTGCGTACATTTGTATTCAAAACAGTCTATGGGCCGTGTCTAATTACAACCGAATTATGATGAGTCACACATATCGTCTCTATAGTTATTTCTAGGCATCAAACGCCTTTTAAAATCTGGGGTTATACGCAAAATGATAATTTTAATAGATGATGTAAACAACTGTAATGATTAAATGCTTTTTCGGTAGCAGTTTTACCAAAAGAATAACCGCAGTCAATTTTGCTTCCGAAAAAAAATGACGTAAACGGAAATGTCGCTCAACATCAAGATAATCCGCAACATGGGCCGGGTCGACAAAATTCAAAACCCAAACCAAGCATAAGAAATGTTTTACGGTCTGTTGTACCCTAATTAAAAGCATTCAGTGTTGCAAGTGGGCCGACAGCAACGCCTCAGCGCGAGTCATCGCACCCAAGTCGTGAGAGATAACATGTTAATTTGTGAGCGCGTGAAGGGTATATAGCGGTGCAATGATTCTATCTTGGGTTGCGATGTTAATGGCATTTCTCACACTACAAACCGTGACCGACATTTGGGGTTTGAGGATATATACATATGTATCCCACCGGATGTGTAGCAATCACTTTCAAATGGTGGTAAATTGTAAGTTTATTTATTTATTCGTCGTCGCTTCCTTCTAGACTCTGACTGGCCGCAGGCGTTAAGTAATTGATGGTGAATAAATGTGAAATTTAACTTTTTTTAAACTTAAAAGTTTAAAAGTCATTGAAAGTGACAGTAACAAACCAAGTTAAGGTAAAAATACAGTATATTTGGAAAATAAAAAAAACCACGGAGATGACTTGTATATGATTGACATTTATAACCTATCATCCTTCTCAAGTTACTTGTTAAACTTATGGATATTATAATCTTGGCTTCGTGAAAAAACATTTTATCAAAATAATTATGGGGACAATTCAAACACAATTATTACAAAGCCTATGCTTTATTTACCATGTTTTTTTTTAAATTTTTCTATTTAATTTTATTTTTATTTCTATTATTTTCATTTATTTATTTATATTTATTTATTTTTATTGTAAATACTATACATAACAATTCCATTTCTGATGACAACATTTGGCCCTTGTTTACACTTTGCAGCACAGCGTGTAAGAAAAACATTTACATTTAAAAAGGGTTATTATCCTGCCGCAATTATTAACCACCCTTCATCGGTGCACTTTCAAATGAAGGTCGGATTGGTGATATTAGTGTTTTCTGCAGTCAACACATTTTTCATTCGTATTTGTCAGTTGTTACGCATCCCGCCCAGTATATTAGTGCCAGGTACTATAATGATGAACAAATTTACTGTTGCATAAATCTCGCTTTTTTATGCTGATTGCCCTATGCTGTGTGAATCTTTAAGTATGGCAGAGTTTTGCAGATATATGGCTTACAGATTTACCGCATGAATTATAGTATGATCGAGCGAATGAATGAATGCAAAGATGAGTAAATTTGTAGCCCTATGTCAGCTTTTCAATGTGTAGAATCTTAATACTGGCGTAGCTTACGTCAATTTGACCGGATTCAAAAGCAAACTATCGGATCCATAGTCCACAACAACGACGTGAAGACCGTTCAGCTCTCTAGCCAGACATTTTCTCTTTTAAATGTCACCTAGAAGTCATAGGAACAGCTTTGTTTTGATTTATTTCTAAGAGGTCATTTCTTTAATCTAGTTGTTTTAAGAAATAATGGAGCATTTTCAACTTTTCATTTTCTGTAGTGTTTTATATTATGTTTGGACACATCACCCCTTTTACGCCTGCCATTTCGGTTGACTCGCCACGGATGACGTCACACACAAATCATGTAAATCTGATCCATAATTACAGCTCAATTATGATTACACCTATCATTATGCAATTATACCGTAGCAGTTATTTTGCGTCACTGATACTAGATTTAGATTGTGCAAAGATTAGTGCAAAGGTCAAAATTAAGTGTACGTCGTGAGTCACGAAGTTTCAGAAAATGAAGGTAACAAGACATTTTCAAAAGGTACAAACACGTGAACGCGTGACAAGACGGGCAGTCTGAAGGAAGTTCGCCGCAGATCTTAAACGTTTATCTGCGGCAGCTGATAGTTTGTCCTATAAATATCTACCAGCACTTATATAATAGCGACCTTTGATCTACAACCGCAAGGCACCACAGTCATGTCATGTTTTGTTTTCCTTTAAATGAGAGACGTCAAAAATAATATTTTGTTTCCATCTTTCGTAACTTCGAAAAATACTAACGCCGTTATAATCTTTTCGTTAAAAGTGTGTCTCAACATTTTAAGATGTAGAACACGAGCTTAATGTGATTTATGAAAATGTCTGTGATGGCTAGAACAAGTCTTCGTTTGTCCTCATATTAACCCTTCGGTATTATAATGATCAGTCGTTCACCCCATTGACTAGCTTGTATGGGTGTACATTAAGTGACCTTAAACTAATGTATCTACATGGAAGTCCAAACCCATAGTAATATTTTCTCTCTCTATCTCTCTCTCTGTGTGTGTGTGTGTGTGTGTGTGTGTGTGTTTTAAAGCAGGCACTGGTCTTTGTGCATGAAATGTACGTAAAGCTGTGTATTGTTTTGTTGGTGTTTGAGAGAGAGAGAGAGGGGGAGGGGGGAAGCGAAAGATAGGGTGACGAGGAGGTGAGATTTGATGCAATACAGTATTTTATTTTCTAATCACTTGATTAACCGCAAAAATCTAACATGAACAGTTTCCTTAGCAACTGACATGACAAATGAAATGCCAACTAAGTGTCACAGGATATTAATTACATGCATGTTTCCCTCTAAGAATCCCGTTGTCTGGGGTGACTTGAAGTTAGACATGAAGTACACGTCATCTGTCATTGTGAAATCTGATTTTTTTGTAAATTTCGGTCACACTTTAGCATATATGTGCACCTCAGCACGCGTACTCGCTTAAGTAAACAACGTGTAAAAAAATATATTTATAAATTTCTATCCACGACCAAAATGTCATTTCATTGTGGCTTCCTATGCTTTTTCACCTATTTATGCAATTTCTAAAATTCCTTCTTTATTTCTAGCACTTGGTGGTGACAATGAAAAGCAAATAACGATTCTAATGTGACTTGTCTATGCGCACTATGTATTTCTTCACATGAACAATACTTTAACAATATCACTAGCTTCCCAACTTAAACATAACACTGCCCAAACGTACTGGTAACTGTCTGAAGATACTGGGGCTGCATCTCATTAAGTGGTTTGTACTGAAATGACGATGATGATGATGATGATGACGATGACGATGATGATGTAGACACTATTTAAATGAAACTTGGACATAATAACGAATGGCCAAGAATGAAATAATCTAGCATGATATTTAAATACACAGATTATATTTTCCCATTCACCCATTCAGATTCTTATTTAAATTTTTGCTTTTAGTGGACTAAACTAAACTACTGTTTATGCAGCAGACTACGCCATTAAGAACACCTAATGGCCATGTCTTGTCTGGCCTCTTCATCAGCTTTATTTAGAAGTCTCATTTAAGATAATACTCACGTAACTAATGGCTATTACGCGATAACAGGATCTCTGTTCAGCTTGTACGAGCGATATCTCACCCGCTGACGGTGACGCATAGAGAAAATTGACTGAGATGTCCATGCTAATTTTTAAATGTAAATCTTGGAATGTTATCTCAGTTAATTATGCAGTTGTATATTTATCATATTCTTATTAGGACAGGTTTAATATTGTGAAACCTCTGACGTCGAGTTAAATTACATTTTTGTCAAATTCAGAGTTTCATCTTTTGATGATCTCTCCTTTAGAAAAAGAAGCATCTTTCGACAAAAACGCATTTTTTTTAATTATTTATTTATTTATTTATTTATTTATTTAAATTTGTCATTTAAGAAGGTTGGTAAACCCTTTTTGTTGATTTGTGTCAAAGATGACAGTTTGTTTACCAATTTTAATACCGTCATCAACCCCAACACCAACAGCAATAACTTTATAGAATCATATCTGCCAAACATTCATTATTTTAAACGTTATATAATTCAGTGCGTTTGACCCCCCCCCCTCCCCTTGCTTAGAACTATAGTTATACAAAGCTATGCTTACACAGAAGCAGGGTCGGATCCAGAGCTATTTTCTGACAGTCTTCCCAATTATCTTTGTTGATCCATCCTCCAAATAAATTTGACGGTCTTCGAACAGAAAAATTAGATACCTGTTAATGTAAACTTGAAAATCTGACCGTATTCTGGAAGACCCAGAAGACGGCCTAAATCCGCCCCTGCAGAAGTAAAAAAAGGCAATCAGTTTCTTACCTGGAATATCGATATTATCAATGGCCTCCCCTGTGATGAAGGTCAGGGGGTTGTCACAGGGAAAGTCCAGGGAGTTATTGTCCAGCGTGTCCAGCGTCTGCTGAAGCTGCGTCCCCAAGTTAACTATGGTTATATCCTCCGTGTTTTGTGTGTCTTCTTTGATCAGCTTGGAATATTCCAAGTAGCGACCTTTCAGGGACGCCAGAGTCATTCTCGCCATGATTTTCTCTTCCGTCATCTCGGAGTCGCTGAGTTCTTTGGTTATCGTCTCGCAGTAATTGTTCACTGCTGTTTTCAGTTCTTCGGCGCGTGCTTGCACTTCGTTTTTGATGTCATCTATGGCTTTGTCGTACTTGTCGAGGGCGTCACACAGGTCTTCGGCTTCGGTGACTTTGCTTTTTAGAGTTTTCAACTGGTTTGAGATCCGCTCGCGGAAATCGACCGCCACTTCTCGTAACTGGGCAACTCGGTGCCCCTTATGAGCTGGCATCTTGCAGGAGACGCAGAGAGGAACCTCGCACATTTTACAATACAGCGTGAACGCCTTGTCGTGGACGCGGCAGTGTCCTCCCATGATGTCAGCGTTTTCGATTTCGGGTTCGATCACAGGTTTATCCTTAAGTGCCAAAATATTAGTGGTGAGCGTCTCGAGACCTCCCGCGGGTGTTTTCAACTCCTCATCACAAGTGGGGCAGTGAAAGTACCCGTGTCTCTTCGCCTTGTGGTGGTCAACCCACACCGAGAGACAATGCAAGCAGAATGTGTGTCCACACCGGAGAATCTTGGGCTGTCTGAAGAATTCCGTGCAAAGTCGACAATGTAGATCTTCTGACGTCATTAAAACCGATGCCATCTCTGCGCTGTGATGAATCTCCAATATAAATCAAAGGATTTTAGAGTGTTTGCTATGTTCTTGTTATCATGAATTCCTAAGTCAGGCTCAATTTGAGTGATTCTATCTTCCCTTAGTGAAAGTTATATATGTGCCAGAAATCCTGCATGCGTGATAAGCAGCGCCTAGGTGTTATAGCTCGTTAAGCGTGCTCCCTTAAATATGGGGGACGACGGCGGAAAATCTTAACCGCAATGCGTAGGCGCATGTGCAGGTGTAAAAATAGCACTTCCCTGGTAGAAGATACAATTATAATTTGTTAATTTCATTTCCTTGATATGTCTCGATTATTACTCATATGACTGAATGTCTCCTGGTGGATATTTTTGTTATATGAACCCTTGGAAGTGTCTGTTGCATAAAAAGATGATAATAGCAGTGGATAGATCTGATACACGAAAAGAAATGATATTTGCATGAAATTAGCCAGAACAAAGAGGTAAATGGGATACAATTCCAAAGTCAGAAATAAATGAAATATATTAACTTAATCAATGAAAAGTTACACAGAAAAATATAAAAAGTGCAAAAAAATGGAATAAACCAAAATAAAATCATATCAAATAGAAGACAATAAAAGAGTTTGAAGTTTTTTATTCCTATTTTTATGTTTATGTTAATTTCATTTTATTTATTTATTTATTTATTTTGCGATTATGACGTGATTTATTCATCTCTGCAGTGTATTAGTTACTCTTCTCGGTACAGCGCGCGGTCCCCGGTAGTTAACAATTTTTTGCCATAGCAGTAAACAAACCAGTGGTGAATTCATTTATTTAGTACATTCAGTTACATGTGCCAATAAAGACCCTGAACTTGGCACCATCCATATAATAAAAATGTAAAATGTGGATCACATCTCCTCTCCCCGCGAAACGGACATGGCCCTCGCTCATTAAAAATGTGCAAAATCTTCCACAGCAGACAAAAATAAATCATGGTCGTATCGCTACGTCTTCACCCAGGTGAGCATACGACTTAATCAACAAGTCACATCCTGCATTGCTAGCTCCCCTCTTAACTCGAATGCCATTTCGTTTGTGATGCAAATCGCTGGCTGAATCTCAAAAATACTTGGTCTGTGCCTGCGACAGTTTTATAGCCACCATACAGGCCATTTTGAATACTCTCCGAGTGCTAAATGACATCAACAAATATGGCTGTGCGTTTTAAATAGTGTACTTAGTTAATTATCTCTTAGTCTTGTTTCTTTGTTTGTATATTTGTTCGTTTTTATCTACCCGTGTGTGTGTGTGTGTGTGTGTGTGTGTGTGTGTGTGTGTGTAAAATACTTATTTAACTATGTTGCTATATACATTTAAAATATATTACATAAGCGGGAACTCACCCAGGTCTTTTGAACGCAAAAAATACGGATCTAGGGGGTCTTTCTGGGAAAAGTGACCAGGGAGACATGATATAGAAAACTTGATGATATTTTAAACATTTGTAGCGGATTTGAAAATCGTGTTGACACAGTTTCCATTCGTGGTTTTACTCAGAAAGCTGCATGGTAAGAAGACCCGGCCGGCTTCGTGGTACTCAGGTGCAGTTCCAATAATTCGGTAGAATGTTTTTATTTTTCATGATAAATGTTCTTTTTTATCAAACTATTGAAGGTTTAGTCTGCAAAAGGCCAAAATATATAAGTATGACAAGTGTCTCAGCTCCCCCCCCCCCCAAATACACACACACACACACACACACACACACCTGAAATTACGTATTTTCATGAGAGAGACAATAAAGAACTTAATTGAGCTCAAATCCAGACCAAACCCGAGCTTTAGTCCAATTTAAGTAACATATCAAATAATCACATTGATAAAAGGTAATTTTCTGTATTAGATGACCCTATCAATATTCATAATAATATGGCGGGGAGACCATTGTTGCCATTACGGACAATTATTATAATTCTCTTAAAAGGATTTTGTACATCAAATAAGAAAGTAACTTAATAATGTGGAAGTTTAAAAATACTGATAGCCTTACTTCAGTGGGCAGGGGTTTGTTTATAAAGACAATAAAATAAAGTGTGCCTATATACTGCACATTGTAATAATAATAATCACACATTGGTGAAGTCGGGGTTTGATGGTGGGGGGGGGGGGGGGCTTTACTTGGCAAATATAAAATAGGACCTCGAAGACATGGGCAGTTTTTCCACATATGTATGGGGAGGGGGGATTGCTTGATTTTGTTTTGTTTCGAAAGTTACAATATCATTTGTGTGGGAGAAGAGAGAAATGCGTGTGTGAGGGGAGGTTAGGCGTATCCCACTGTGCTTCCCCTCTACATTCTCCATTACAATATCAATATGAGAGAGAGAGAGAGAGAGAGAAGGGAAAGTACAAATAGAATACCTAATTCCGTACAATATAAGATTTTCTATTATATCAAACATTAACGATGCTGAGAGTATTACTACAGATGTTGAGCAGGATAAAAGCTGCTCACAGCGCCGTGTCGTCACAGCCCGCTGCCAGTAGCTGACATTGTAATAAAAAATCTATATCATGTATGCATATCTTATATGCTTTGACAGATACAGGAATTTTTATGTGAAATCATGTGGTTTTATGATGTTGTAAACGCCCAGATGGCCATACGTTTTACACACGTGTAACTGCAATAAGTTAATAAATAAATAATTGTAGTTAGCTTCTGTAATGAAAAGGAATGTGCGAAGGGAGATATACGTCAAATGTTAATTTCTTTTCAACACCTGTTGCTATAAAAGAACCACCAGATTGAAGTGTCGGGTCATCTTTTGGTAGTCAGTAATTTTAATTTAAAAATCCATTAAGCTGCGATTAACGAGTATCCACGCTGGTGCCAACATTTCCTCATGCTAAAATATCAATGACATACCAAACCCGTTACTGTATGGTTCATTACGTAACGAACTACACTAAGATGGCAGTTTCCTTTTCTTGTAAGACATAAAGTACATCAGATTAGTCACAATTAGTGTATTGTGCCACAAGCGTCGGTCAAATCATTCAGTTTGTTACCGGTAGGCCTACCGTCATCAGGGATGGGGTCGACATTCAATTCTTTTCCCCCTGTTTGTTTATCAGTTATATTATTTCACTTTCTTAATATGCAAATCATATGCAAAGTATGTGTAATAGAACCGTTCTTAACATCATTACAGAAAATGCCTGGTGTTAAATAAAATAACGAGGCGATATTGTTTTTGTTTGTGTAGCTGCAACTTATCAAAGACGAAAGTTAACTTTTCCTTGGAAGTGATGAAAAATTGACGAAATGTAGGCAAAACAAGTGAGAAGTGTCATTTCTCCCTCTCTCTCTCTCTCTCTCTCTCTCTCTCACTTTTTGTGTGTGCGTACATAAAAACACACATACGCACTTAAGCAAAGCACAGATGCCAAAAAACAATCCATATCAAAATTACCATTTTTATTCACATAGCTCTGAAAAAAGGTGTATTTCTAGCTTCCAGGACGCATATTTAACCAAAGTTAACTGGTCCCTAGACAGAATAGATAAACCTTCTAGACAAATAGCAAAGACAGGACTTACGTCACTGACAGGTACCAATACTTGACCTATATTGGGACTGTGTAACAGGTGTCAACTATATTTTTTCAGTGGGATGATATTTCCATATATAGTACTTTTGGTTGATTAATGATAGGGTATATAATAGGGCGAAGGTAAGGGCGGCTAAATGAATTTGATATTATAACGCATGAATTGATTTAGATTTTGGATAACTACTGTACTTTGATAATTTTTGTAACTAGGCCCACATGTGGAAAATACGTAAAAGGGTAGAAATTTAATTTAAAAATGTTCGACAAATATTTAGTGCAGCCTTCTGAATAATTCCTGCTGTGTATCCGCATAAATTTCGCCAAAAAATACGTAAAACGACATTTAACCAATTAACAAAAAGCGACAAAATAACGCATGATGCTCTGATTAATTTTTGTTGTTTTTCTAAAGAGCCAGGACTTTGACACTGTATATGGCCCTATATTGATCGCATACCGTGCTGGAGGTCATTAAGCTGCTGGCTACTCTCTTCCGCGTTTGCTTTGACGCTGGTGCTACTTGTTGTTTCCTCTTTTATTGAGATAGGATCACGAATTTTGATTTTAAAAAACCTACTGAATTACAAAATTTATGAGCATGCAAGGGGAGGGGGAGGGGGGAGCACTAAAATTGATAATAATAATTAGCGACTTGGTGGGTGTAACAGCAAAAATTGTGTGCTTAAAGTTGGACATACAATGACTTGGTGACACGGAATACCATGCAATGTTCTGAAAAGTAATTGCCAAAAATATTGGGTCTAAACACATAGATAGAGCCCTATAGCCGCAATGCTCCTTGCTCTTTAGACTAACGTGGTTGGAAAAGGTGGTTGCTGGCAAAATGTTTTTCTGTTTGATAATTTTGTAAAATCGGATGAGCGGGAAACCGTAGATCTGGCCTTTTTCGTTGCCTTTATCCCAATCGTGCACATAAAATCTTTGTTTTAAGCCTTCATTTTCAAACAGAAATCCGTCGTCTATATATATTGAGCATATACGCAAAACGCTGTTTTTGACTTTTGAAAATGGAGAAATTTTGCTCTAGAGTCGCGGCAAATAAAGTACTCATAGTTCCAAAGAGATGCTAAAAAAAACACATTCAGTAAAACAAAAACAAAATTTAAAAAGTTACTTTTGAACAGCTGTACTTTCCATACAGTATATATATGCGTAGAGAGCAAACTTACTAGCGTGCTTACTAGGGGTGTGCATTCTTATACTTTGAGTGGGATGAGGAAGTTTATAACAGCAAAAAGTTTAATGTATTTGAAATTGGACATTCGTTTGACTGCGGACCTCCTCCTGGCGTTAAGTATAGAATACAGAAAAGCTGGTGATTATACGAGTACGTTGGAAACAAGAGGAGGTGTGTCATTCAGTTAAGCTGATTGCGCTCAGCGAGAGTCAACACAGAGTTGGATCGATCCACATAGATCGATGGTGTCTTTGGGAACGGGGTCTAAGCCTCGCCCCTTCCCCAAACTCCTACGACTGTCCATGTAACGGCAAAGAACGAGGAAACAGACAACTGAGCTTTAAATGGGGAAATGATATTTTTGTGATATTACTTATTTTACTAATGATCATTACAGAAAGGAGGCGTTGATTAGCAGATTGTCTTTTATAGATACGGGAAAATTGATTCATAATTTCAGTCTGTGACAGAAACTATTTCGGTCACGAGTTATGTAAGGGATGCCTTTTAATACTTTTGTTGAATGCCTTGCTTTCGTAAATGACAAATTAGAAAGTTTAACCTACACGACATGTATCAGATAACCTTTCCATTTCCACGCGACTTCCACGCAAAAATGGAAAACAAGTACACTGCCCTTTGAAGACAAAAATCAACAAAAGCCGTTTTTCTTTACTTAAAAGCGTAATTTTAAAAGTTATCGACGATCTTTCCCATTTTGATGAACTACATGGCGTTAGGAAGTTTGTAGCTCAACAAATGTAGTCTGCAAACCATCTGCTTTTGTGTCCCTAGATAAAGTCATCTGCCTCAAAATGCACTTCTTAACCTTAACATTTAAAAAGAACGCTTTAAAGAACTAGCCCCTGCAAAAAGTAATTTGGCTTGTCCTTAAATTAGGGTTTCTGCTTAAAAGATATTCTACTCAAGTGATTTTAAGGTAAGAAAAATAATAATAAAAAAACATTAAATCTAAGTTTAGGTCGCCGACCACATAAAAACATCAGAAAGTTATTAGTGGAGGATCTAGATATACAGGAGTCCTGGATGAAAATAAATGATGTGTAATCTCGGTTAAAAGCGGATACTCGAGAACCTATCAGTACGTTTTAGAAAGTCATTGTCCATTGTCAAAAGCTGAGCCAAATTCCAAGTAGAATTACGGGACAATGTTTTGGGGTCAACCACACGACGTAAAACATTTCCTTTACATGTAGCCTACATGTATATACTTCGTTTTTTAAATAATGAAATAGATAACAAAATACTTTTGAATAGCGACGAAGAACACGTGTTTTTAATTTTGTGGTACTTGTATCATGGGAGAAAGTTTGTAAAATCTGAAAATTATGAAAAAGTGGTTTGCAAACTTTCATCACATTTAGAGCATATAAAAAAAACAATCAAAATGAATACTTTAAATCCAGAAACAAAGCACAATACTGAAGATTTTCACTCATGTTGTATTCATCAATTTACTTTTTCAGTTTATGGAAGCAAACGAGATTTTCTTTTCTATCTTTTTTGGAAGACAACCCGGGAAACGTAACCCAATCTGAATTTTCGATTTTTGCACTCGAATTGGCACAGGTTTAGATGGGCTGGCTTTCATAAATGTCTGTATTTAGTGATAAACTTTGGGTATTTTCTATTGAGAGCACTTATCGCTGAGCAGCTCTTCCTTTGAAATATGTAGTTGAGATTGTAGATCAGATGCAAAATTGGTTTTCCATGACCCTTTATATGAGAATACACGTAGAACAAATTTTAATTAAATGCTATCAAATAATAGTGACAACAAACACTTTTNATCGACGATCTTTCCCGTTTTGATGAACTACATGGCGTTAGGAATTTTGTAGCTCAACAATGTAGTCTGCAAACCATCTGCTTTTGTGTCCCTAGATAAAGTCATTTGCCTCAAAATGCACTTCTTAACCGTAACATTTAAAAAGAACGCTTTAAAGAACTAGCCCCTGCAAAAAGTAATTTGGCTTGTCCTCAAATTAGGGCTTCTGCTTCAAGGATTTTCTACTTAAGTGATTTTAAGGTAAGAAAAATAATAATAAAAAAACATTAAATCTAAGTTTAGGTCGCCGACCACATAAAAACATCAGAAAGTTATTAGTGGAGGATCTAGATATACAGGAGTCTTGGATAAAAATAAATGATGTGTAATCTCGGTTAAAAGCGGACACTCGAGAACCTATCAGTACGTTTTAGAAAGTCATTGTCCATTGTCAATAAGCTGAGCCAGATCTCAAGTGGAAGTACCAGTGGCGGATTTAGAGGGGGGCGTCAGGGGTCGATTTCTGGTCCCCTCTTAAAATTAGAATTCTGACTACCTGAATCATAGTTTTAAACCGTACCAAATGGCACCGTTCGCCCTCTAAAATACCAAAATTTTTCGGGGCCCTAAACCCCACGCCAAGTGTGTGTGAGGGGGTCCGTTTTGCATCCGCGGACCTCCCTTCAAATAATTTTGGATCCGCCCCTGAATACGGGGCGATAAATATGCTTTGGGTCAACCGCACGATGGAAAACATTTCCTTTACATGTATACATACTTCGTTTTTAAATAATGAAATAGATAACAAAATACTTTTGAATAGCGATGAAGAACACGTTTTTTTAATTTTGTGGTACTTGTATCACGGGAGAAAGTTGTAAAAACTGAAAATGCTGAAAACGTGGTTTGCCAATTCTCGTCGCATTTAGACCATATAAAAAACGATCAAAATGAATACTTTAAATCCGGAAACAAGGCACAATTCTGAAAATTTTCACTCGTGTTGTTTGCATCGTGTTACGAGAGCCAATTTACTTTTTTAAGTTTATGGAAGCAAACGAGATTTTCTTTTCTATCTTTTTTGGAAGACAACCCGGGAAACATAACCAAATCTGAATTCTCGGTTTTTGCACTCGAATTGGCACAGCTTTAGATGGGCTGGTTTTCATAAATGTCTGTATTTTGTGATAAACTTTGGGTATTATCTATTGAGAGCACTTATCGCTGAGCAGCTCTTCCTTTGAAATATGTAGTTGAGATTGTAGATCAGATTTAAAATTGGTTTTCCATGACCCTTTATATGAGAATACACGTAGAACAAATTTTAATTAAATGCTATCAAATAATGACAACAAACACTTTTGCAAGCCAAATAAATCATTTAATCCCTTAAAATATTTTCAAAATACAACAAGTCCAAATGACGAAAAAAAATATTTGAAAAAAATATTTATCATACTTATGCATACTGTCTGTAATACATTGAGATTCTTCGTCCATTTGTGAGACGTTCTCTTCAATAGCATATCATCATTTCACACCTAAACCCAATATATAGGTGAATTTCACATGCTGAAGTGTCCAAAAATAAATTTGAAAGAATTTAAAGTTGTATTCAATTTTTTAAAATATATATGAGTATAGAACAAAAATCCACGACTGTCTCAATTTAAATTCAAATTTTAAATTTTACAATGTCTTTACATTACGCACAGAGCCCTAAATGGTTACGTATGTTCTGGAAACGTATGGTAACGTATGTTCCGGGTCATTTTTATCATGATTTTAATTTTTATACCACGTTCCGATATATTTTGTAGTTATTCGGTCATGGTAAATTATATATGGATGTTTTTATACATATTAAACTGTAACTCAAAAAGTGTTGCGTCATGGCTAATACTAGGTTACGTATGTTCCCCAGAAAAATTGTCAAAAAGTTTCATTTGGTGCAATAGAAAACAGAGTTTTCTGACGCTGAACGAAAAATATCTTGTGCTTCGATGATAGTTTGACATTTCTGATATAACATTTGGATCACGAGGGGAAAATAATTTATCTAATGCTTATTTAACTGTCGGTTGAGTGCATTTTCCTCGTCTTTTTTTTTAGAATTTAGTGACAAGCAAACTAAAGTCGCTAAAAAGTAATAAAGAAGATTATTATAATTTTTTTACAATGTTATACTTGTAGGAGATAAATCAAAGACCAAAACCAGTGATGATTTAATTTTTCGAAGTGAATAAAACGTTTCACAGTTGGACGTTTTGCATTTGTGACAGTAACGTATGTTCCTTTTTTGGGGTTAGACGATGAAATACTTTTTATTATTCATGTTTCCAGAAGAGTTAAACTTTGATACAAAATCTTCAAGTTGGACCCAAAAATAATCAAACATAGTTTGCAACCTGTGCACTAAATATTTTGAAGAGCATGCTTGTGACATCAATTGTACCTCTATATTGGGTTTGGGTGTTCAACGTTGCGGCAGTCCTGATACCTTTTTCCTCAAGGTAACATCAGTTCAACGTCAACATAGGTTCAACAATAATGGTTAACATACACTAATAATTGTGTCATTTTCAAATACTTTCCATAATAGACAATAAAAATAAAATAGTCCAGCGAATAATCTGAACAGGGTCCCGTCCAACAGGTACGGCTGTTCGTCTCATGATTTACTTGTAGTGCTTCAGCGTCCTAGCTGACGGATCGTCGGTTTTGGACCACTTGGGCATCCAGTAGTAAGGGATCCACGGAGCCTTTCCTGGATAATACTGCTCAAACAGCTGCCGGAAGTAGTAGGCCTCTTTAGTACGCGGAGGGTTGAATGGATACTTCTTGGGGGCGTTCTCCATGTCCTCGTTGTTAATCTGTAACAGAATGAAATTTACATTCAGTTTTACAACAAAAGTAATTTAACACTTAATACCTGCGCGCTTTTAAAAGCAAAGGATTTTTTTGTATCAAAATAAATAGACTTCATGTTGGCAATGTTGGATTGTGAGCCATTGCACACATCTCAGTAAGACTAGAAAGTTACCACAAACTTACTTGGCTATGTGCAATGGATCACAATGGCCTTAGTCATGCAAATACAGTAGTCTGTGAAAACGAGGTTAATCATATGTTTGGTCCTTTATTTTCTAATGCCCAATGTGAGCTGAGCTTCACCTGTGCCATTTGTGCATCTTGAACATTTTCTACTTAGATCTTTCATATAAATAAGGTTAAAAATACATTCCATAAGATATACCAATTATATACTACCAATACTGACAAGTGCGCCATTATATGATCAGAAAACAAACATACCCTAGAAGCCACATACTCCTGTATAACGTGATGCCACGACCGTTTCTCAGACGACACTCCATCGCTGAAGGCCTCCTTGGGCCGCCACAAAATATCATTGGGGATGAGGTTTTCCTGGTCAAAGGCTGAGCGTAAGAGATACTTCTCAACTCCGTCCTTTGGCTGACGAAGTTTGGGGTCGATGGAGAGATAATAGCTGGTAAACTGATGGTCTAAGAACGGCACACGCAGTTCAAGTCTGTGAAATAATAAAGATGATTATAAGTTCTTAAAACACAAAAAGTCTGACAATATCTGAAAAAAAGTTATAATCAAAATCCAAAAATATGGTTTTCAGTTACTAATGTGATTAAGATTCACACACATGTATTGCAATTATTATGGAATTTGTGCTTGTCATCAGACAACGTGGACCACCATAGGTGGCTATACATTTGCAATAATACCATTACTGTACAAAAACAAAACTTAAAAAAACATCTAAAACTCTGAATGTCAGAAAGGACCATTGGAAAGTATGGAAAGTCATCATAACTCCAGGAAAAAACATTATTTGGCACTTTTCCTTAAAGATTGCTAGTGTTCTTATTTTTCAGCAATCATCAAAGTCAATCAATCAGAAAAACCTTTTTCAATCAGTAATATAAAAACAGCTTTTTTAATCAAAGTAATACAAAAATATCAATAAAAACATCTACCATACCCCCATCCAGCTGTTGTCCTGTCGCCCCTTAGCACATCATAAAGGTAAAGGTCATCCAGAAGTCGTCTGCTCTCCACGTCCGCCTCTTCTGCAGTGGGGGCGTTATGGAAGTAGATGTACCCTTGACACAGCTCGTCGGCTCCTTCACCAGAGAATATCACCACTGAGTCCGTGTTCTCCGAGATGTACTTGCTGACAAGGTACATTCCTACATGCAGGGAAAGTTTTATCCATGGGTTTAATTTACCAGTCTGTCATCTTTCTATTCTTTTTCAAATATTATTTACGAAATTGTTTTTACTCTAATCAACATTATCTTCTGAAACATTTTTAAAGTCTTATCTTTTATCTTACTTTTCATCATACCAGTTTCTTGTATGTTCTCTTAGGCAGATACTTTTTCAAGTTTGTCTATGTTAAACAAATTCATTTCTAACTCTTTAAAAACAGAATTTTTTAAAAATTAGTAAAAATCATAGTTTATGTACTAAAGACATAAAAACTCCAAAGGGTCATTACAAAGGTGTGATGTCACAATGCAGTGTGACATCATACCTGTAGAGGCCTTGACTGTTGTGATGTCATATCATTACAAAGGTGTGATGTCACAATGCAGTGTGATGTCATACCTGTAGAGGCCCTGACTGTTGTGATGTCATAACTCTCCAGGTGACGGATGACGTCACCAAGTGCCTGTATTCCTTCCTCCTCTGTGAAGAACACTTCATGGTGTTCTGTGCCAAGAAAATCTGCAACCTGGAAAAAGTCATTTCCTGATGATTTCTCTCCTCTCAGTCTGTTTTCATGCAATTTACCTTACACTAAGGGCGTATTCCCAGAGTTTTTAGATCGATCTATCACCGCGGGGAGTCTCACTAGATTACTGTCAGATAATCTGGCTTAAATGTCCGTCCCGCCTACTACAAGCTGTAAGGGGGTAAATAACTTTCATGCCCGCTCGGCTGACAGCTATTCAGCGTGAACCCCCAGGGAGTTAGGTCGATCTAAAGTAGATCGATCCAATCTCTGGGAATGGGGTCTAAGAGAAACATATATATTAAAAGAGGACTTAAATGTACTATTTTATTCATTCATTCATTCATCCATCCCCTCCTCCCTCAGTCATTCTGTTTTCACACACGGTGACACCCCATACTCAATCTTAATCAAAGTTTAATATTTGATTAACTGAGAAAGATGGAGATTGAAACCCTTGGATTACCTTGTGTATAGTGCTGTTAATTCATGAATCATTGGTGAAGCCATGAGCTTATAATAAAGAGGTAGGTGAAATACAGGAAGAGGGGGAGGGGGGAAGGCAAAACACTGCAACCTTGTTTCCCAGGACTTTGTGCTGGCAAGACTTTTATGAGGAAGTTATTGTGTTTTGGGCTGAAGGCATCCTCATCAAATTCCATCCATCAATATGTGTCTATGTGCAAAGAGAAAAAGGATTGTTGTATGTATTGTATAAGCTAAAAAAAAGTGTGGGGGGTTTCCTATTATTGTACAGGGACTATATAAGTATATGACATTGTATGTTCTTGTGGGTGGGGGAGGAACAGGCCGTGTGTGTGTGTGTGTGTGTGTGTGTGTGTGTGTGTGCACGCATGCATGCGTGCGTGCGTGGTCTGGGAAGGCAGTTGAGGGGGGACAGACTCTGTGGGGGTGGGGGGAACCGGTTGTGTGGGGAGAAGCAAGCTCAGGGGGGGGGGAAGAACAGGCTGGAGGGGAGCAGACCTTGGGGGATAAGCAGGCTGTGTTTGTCTGTGTGTGCGTGTGTCTGTGCATGTGTGTGTGTGTGTGTGTGTGTGTGGAGAGGGACACAACGCAGGAGAAAGAACAGGCCATGAGGGAAGGGGTATACCTTTCTTGCTGCAAGGATGTCAGTGCTCCCAGGCATCCCAGTGGCAAAGGTCTGCACTTTGTATGGTACGCCCAGCTCCTTGGCATTCTTGACCACCAGGGCGGCCACCAGACTAGAATCAAGGCCACCTGGATGGAAGACATAACAGTAATGATTATAACTGGTGATAATCAGGTATCTGGGATAGCTAAATGCTAAAACCAACTTAAACTGGCTAAACAAAATAGGGTTGATTTGACTTGTTTTAATTTGTCAAATTTAAACCATTTGGAGAAAAAAAACAACCAAAAAGTAGTGATTTGAGTGAGAAAAAAAATTGCTCACGCTACCTCAGGGTATAATACCTCAGGGTATAATCATGCCTTCACGAGGTTGCTATATCCACCTCAATACTATATCAATATATATATTTAATATATACATATACTCTTAAACATGCATGATGTACATGCACTTGTGTAATATTAGCAGTTAAAATATAAACTTTAAAGGCATATCACTTACTTCAGTTATAAGTGCTGTGCTATGCATAATTAGTGAGCTTAGTGTGCTAAGTGCTTAGTGTGTGTGGGGGGGTGCGGTGCGTGTGGTCCATTGTGGTAGATGAGACTGAATACCAGGCCACAATAGCAAGCTCAACCACTGAGAATTTCAGTATAATTTGGCAATTTCAAAATTTTCCATTGGTATGTGCTGATCTTTATGTTAATGAGAAGTGTCATGCTAGCTTATTTTACCCTGAGCGTCAGAGCAACGTAAAAGCTAGCTTGCTAAATATACCTTGTGGTGGAGTCGCTTTTACTAACTCTGAAGACCAGCGGCCATGAAAGTTTTCCATCAATCAAATAGAACTGCTCTGCAGTGAAAATGCAGTTGAATGTCATCGGACCAAAATAAAACGTAAAACAAATTTAATTCTGCTTTATTTAACTTTATTTGCTGTATTTAAGATGTAAAGTGAAAAAATAAATAATATTCTTCGGAAAGAAAAGATATATCCAATGTTTTTGTATTTTTTGCTTATCAAAGAACATTTAGTCCTGAGATATACAAGTGCACAATACATGTGCTTGCCGTGTGCCAAATTTGACAGCTACACTGTATGCCCGATACCACTATAAGGGCTGCACAATGGCTACACGAAAATAAGTTTTTACAGCAGAATGTTGCTTGTATTGTGGCACTGACCTTCGACTGCAACATATTTTCATTTCAAACATCTAACTCTGCGTCAGGCACTTTAAATGTTTCTTGTCTCGCCTGCATGAGACTTCAGCCCAAGGGCGGGAAAGGCAGCTCCAGGCGGCCAAACCTGTGACGTACGAGACTTATGACTTCCAAATATGGATCCAGGCGGACACAGCTGTGACGTGTGACTTCCAAATATGGAAGCGCCCCAGGCAGAATTTTGAAGAAGAACGCCCCCGAGTTGCCACTGTTCGCTAGAGTCTGGTATTGCTACTATGGGTTATATATGAAATCAAGATCGAGCTGGCAATACCGGAATCTAGAACCTAGGGTAGCATATTTTTGCAATTTTAAAAAAGTAACTGATTTAGTCCGAGCCTTTTTTTTTACAGAAAATATCAAGGTGTTTGAATGAATCAAAACAGAATTTCATGTAGAAAGGAAGCAAGTCCTAAAAACCCTACCATCAGTTTCAAGAATAACATCATTCCCCAATTGTTTAGTATGTCACAAAATAGCCATTATGCTAGGCTGGATTTCTTTCCCAATTTCTTAAACTCCAGTGATTGCGAAAGAGATTGAAAACTTACCAGACATATGGGCTGGAGCAAATTAAATTTTGTCTGCCCACACCTTTTTTTACCGGCCCACAACAAAATAATTAAGCTGTTTATTTTCACTTCATTTTTGATGAATATTATTGTCTGGCATTTTAAATCGCTGCTTTTTAATTTTCAGGCCAGATGTAATAGGATATTTAAAGGTTTAAGTTTAAACGTCTTTCATTTTGGTTGCTTTCTGGCATCCTTTTTACATCTGGGTTGCTTATCTTAATTTCTAATCTTTTAACACAAGATCATGTATCCTTTGTAAATTTTATTCCAATTTTTGAGTAAAATTAAAATATAAGTCATAGTGAAGTGGAGCTTCCAACTTATCTAACTTTTTTTAGATTTTCACTCTTGGAAAAATGCTTGTCTGTTTGTTAGCAGGGATTGTCCTGGGTCAAAATCTGGTCGGGCCATTTTG